AAGTTTCTTCATAAATACTTAATAAATTTAATTATTTAATTTTTTATTTATAATATATTTTTATTAACTACAAAGTTTCTTCATAAATACTTGCTATATATAATTATTTAATTTTTTTATTAATAATATGACTTTAGTAATATCACAATTAGTTTCTCTATATAATTATGAATCAACCCTTCAAACTTCTAATAACAATTTTACTTTCGTAGAATTAAAAAAGATGTTTTCTTAATTTCCATCATTTTATAATTATTTGATACCCAATCGTAGATAACTAAAAATTTATTTATAAATAAAAAAAGGTACATTTTTAAAAAGATTTGTTAACGATGTAAAAATGACGATAGATTTAATATTAATCGATGAATTATTCGCGTTATTTATCTTCCCCCATATCTACGAAGGAAACTTTGAAATTCGATATCGGTAAGTTGAAGGAAACGGCAAGTTAAATGCAGAAAAGTAGATAAGCCCTTATCTTTCGGTGAAAAAGAAGTGGAAAGAGAAAGGTGGAAAGAAAGAATTATTGGTGAATAAAAGTAAAAAGATGAAAATTTCCTTTTTCCTTATTCGCATTCGTAATGTTTTATACAGATTAACGATTGTAACCCATCCGTGTTCTTCTCGCTATAAGGTGAGAATTGTCAAAGACAATATTTATTATTACGACGATAGGTGAACTAGTAAGAAAGTTTGAAAGTAAGAGGTGTCAGGATAAGGAATGACTATAGTTGTCGACAAGTCGAGTAACGTTCAAAGGATCAACCTCGATTTGAACGTCTATTAAGTACTTTACACACCAAAAACTAACCTTAAAATGAATTACATGGTTTGACATTTTTACAACTGTAATATTTCTTTCTCATTTTTAATAGATAGATTATTAAAACATATATTTATATGTTTATCAATGAAATTATGTATCCAGGTGTGTGCATGTATATTTTTTATTGTATTTCAGGTAGATCATAGTTTTGTATTCAAGCATAATTACGGAGGATGGATTTGAAAAGTTTTGAATTTTAACCAAAAAAAAAAAAAAAAACAAGAAAAAATTTGTATTTTTTAAAATAGTTTCCATGTTAGGATTAAAACTTTATAATCCAATTAGATATTCGCTATTGATAAAACTTGTTTTAAACTAATATGAATATTTTAAACTAACAGATTAATATATTATATATTTTTATTAGTATTATTTAGTATGTTTAAACAAAGGAATTACTTAATACATTTTCATATAAAGAAATAAAAAATAGTAATTGCGGTTAAAGTAGGATGGTACAATCGTAAACGGTAGGAAATAGATATTTTATTATTGTGAATTTTTAAGAATTCTTAGGACAATTATTATTGGATCGTTTGATATTTTTGAAACAGCTTGTATTATAAAGTCGCGAGATAAGGGGTAGAGAATAGTAGAATCAACGAGATACGAAATAACGTTTAACGAGCGTTCAAAGGTTGCATTGAACGTCGTGTCGAACGATGCATAACGAGGACAATGCCAACGGTCTGCGAAATGGTTCTGTCTCTCTCTCACGTCGTACAAAATCGAGACTTCATGCGATTTCACTCCGAATTCAAAGCAGAGACGATTTATTAAATTATTCATTATTATCTATATATATATATATACATTCTTATATTTAAATAATACTTTTTTGGATTAAGATTCGTTACAAATCTTCTTAAAAAAATATCTGTAAATTATTCAACATTATTTATATCTTTCTCTATAAAAATTTAGTGTTACAATTGTTGATTTCCAATGAAGTTCGAAATTATTGAACCGAACTTAATGAAGTTTTTATTATTTTGTGTGCGTGTGTTTTTTTTTTTTAATTTAGTATACAGGGTAGTTTTTATCACGTTTATTTTTTATTTTTTATCGCTAATTTAAGGATTTATTTTATTTTGTGTGTGTGTGTTTTTTTTCAACTTAGTGCATAGCATAGTTTTTATCGCGTTTATTTTTTATTTTTTATCGCTAATTTAAGGATTTATTTTATTTTGTGTGTGTGTTTTTTTTCAACTTAGTGCATAGCATAGTTTTTATCGCGTTTATTTTTTATTTTTTATCGCTAATTTAAGGATTTATTATTTAAAGGTTATCTAGGTCTGTAGGTATTGCAAGTTTTCAATAGATGGTGCTGTATTACAATTCAATTATTTCGATATATTCACGTCTCAAAGCTTGAATTTCTTTGAAGGTTTCACTTCTGCCATGTGTGATCTGCACAGATCTGTTTTTTTGTTTTTAAATTACTTTTTTTATAACATAATATCAATTATTTATTCCTATCTATTATACTTTTGGCTATAAACCTTCTGTAACATTAATTAAACTTTACTCTCATTTTGTTATAGGGCAAGTCAAAAAAGTTTCGGAGTGTTTTTTTTTTTTTTTTTAAATCGATTATACTCTTTCTTAAGACTTCTTTAGGCAACCTTCTCTATCTTTTTCTTTTTCTTTTTTTTTTCGTTCAGATTTTTAAACTACATAGCGTGAAAACTTTTTTGCAATGCGAATAAAAAGGAACAAAAAAAAAAAAAAAGAATTACAAGAAGAAAAGAAAATTAGTGTAAGAAGTTTCAAAAAGGACTAATTGATTTTTAAACTCTGCTAAGAATTCTTGTGGCCCACTTTATAAACTTTTGCTTTTTTTTTTTTTTTGTTTGATTTGATGAAACTTGATAATTTTTTCTTTGTTTTTTTTTTTTTTAGAATACGTCACGAAATACACACATGTATATATAATCAAGATAAAAGATTCTAAAAACGAATTGTATTAAATGAAAAAACATTAACGTTGTAAAGGGACACATAACGATGTATACAGTGACTCAAACAATTGATCAAATGTTCTCTCACAGTGTTTAAATTTTTACATAGTTTTCGTAGTTTACATAGTACAGAAATAATTGAAATATGTTACACATTTTACATAGTTTTCGTAGTTCACATATTACAGAAATAATTTAAATATGTTACACATATATTAAGCAAAATTCATTGAAATTAACAAATCCAGGATTTGATCAATTTTTTGAGTTTGGAAAAATGATTTTGTGATTTTGATGAATTTTAGTACTTCGTATTATATATTAATGTCACATGTGCAGTGTAACGAATTTTTCATTTTTCTATTTTTCGTAGAACTCAATGTACCCACATACTTACATCGAGAACTGATTTATCGAATAAAATGTCGGAACGTGGCTGGAAATCACAAAACGAATCTGGTGGTTTACTTTTTAAGTCTCGAA